TCGTCAGAGAGCCAGTAGGTCGAAGAAAAGATGGGCAATGGCTGCTTTCACAGTCCATGATTCGGCCCGCGAGCGAGCGAGGACCGGGGGCGGCACCTTGGTTACATCTGAATCTTGGTCAAGACCGCCGGACGAGTAGTCCCACGGTCGCTCACGCGCTCGCGGGCCGAATCGTGGACTATGGAAGCAGCCAATGAAGGCTCAAAGGGAAAACATATTGAAGTGCGTGAAGTGTTTGCCTTCATTCCGGACCACGCTGCTGTAGTTGCCTGAACTTGTACTAAGGCCGTTAACTGAACTCTTACAAAATACCAACTACAGTCAGTTAAGAATTCAGGAAGGAACGATCCATCGTCGCCACATTGGCAAAGTATTCGGTCTAAGATTGAGACAGTTGTTCATCACTATTTGAACTGTGACGCTGGGCAAGTGAGGTTGTTAAGTGGGACTTATGCTTATATAATCGGCCCGACGCTTCAAACAGATCGTCGCGATTCCTAAACATAGATGAAAATACAACGTTTGTCCTCTAAACCATCGAACGATTGTTCTGCTTAGTGTTTCGAAGGTCCAGTGTACGTTGAAAATGATTTTTGTGTGTTACCATCCAGGATAGGGTGGAGGTGGTGTAGTGGCAAGTGGCGCACTATCTCACACGCACGGTCAGAGGTTCGAATCCCGGATCGATGCCTGCCTAGACCAACCAGGCCTTCCATCCTTTCGGAGTCGGTCAATTGGTATCGGACTCGTCTGGGAAAATAAAAGTACTGATTAATACATCGGCTGGCCACCACAAGTCATTGTATAGGCCACATACGCACTCATTATGCCACTACGATCCTGAATGGAAGTCGAGTGCGGGGGCGCATACCTCAGACGGATTGATTAACGCCAAAAAAAACTTTATCCTCTAAAACTCTTAACCCTCCAGAACTATTCTTCAGCCACCTAATATGCCATATACATAGAGCCCCGTCGGGTAGAATACTGCTCAAATAGTGCACATGGATTACAAATAGTAGGGATACGAGCACATTACGCGCTCCAATCGACCATCGCAATTCTGCCATACGCGGCGTGTGCGGCGGGCGCAACACTCCTTGCTAGATCACAAAACCCACGCCAGTCTACATTTTTTGATTGATTCTGATTGATGTGATTCGACCGCTAGCTGTGCTTTCACAACCTTTTTTTGCAAATTTGAATTCTACTTAAGTATTAAGTTGAGTGTTAGTGAATCATGTGGTGGAGTGTTTTCTAAGATTTCCTTTGAAATAGATCTATGGCCTCCAAGTAGCCTCACAAGGGACTTTAGGGACAAAAATGGACTAGAGATCAAAAAGGGCCTCGGTTCTATGCCGCCCTGGAGTAGGCAGTGTTTTACGAATTCCAAGTGTTTGTTGCACCATTCTCATTCAAAAAAGATAGGCTTAAAATTCAAACTGGTGATTAGAGAAAGCAACAAGATGTAACATAACAAGAAATGGCAACAACAAAAGAATGTCAGTTTAGCATATATGAAGGTTCCAGATTCTGAGAACATGCATTCCCACTCAAGATGACTGAAAAGTCAATCAGTCCCATTCTTTGCTTACTTTAGCCAATTGCACCTTGCTATCACACATAACTGACGCCTCGTCTATACCTCTTCCATCCCATTCACATCATAATCTCCTACACCCTCTCATTTCTACTATCTAGTTTAGGTTTCTCGAAATCGACGAAGTTTTTTCATGTTATAAGTAACCGATGCACATTTCTGCACCCACTTCCACTATTCAACTTAACAAAGATGCCCCAAGACTTATGAGCTTTGCTCTGTGCCCTGAGTATCTCAAGCTCATTAATAAAATCGTACAAAGCAGTAGAATTCTCAACGCTTTATTAAGCATTCATTGAAATATGGTGAACTGCGCTGTCTGTGGGAAAATAATCTACGCGGCTAAAGCAAAAAGGACGACGGGATCACTTCCCCAGAATGCGATCCTCTTTATGTCATTGGCACTGGCTGGTCACATGGACATGGAGCTCGCACGTAAGCTTCTGGACCCGGCAACGAAGAAAAGGGAATATGTCTGCCAACGGCATGTAGTGCAGGCGGTGAGCGTTAAAAAAAGATACTCAGATGCGTGCATAAATAACTAACGTATGAATAAACAGGCACAATTCCTTCTTGCTGAAATGGCGATGCTAGGAAGTAGAATACGGCATTTCGATGATCCTAGCGCGTCAGGACGTACTGCGTATGTGGCATTTGTCGACATTCCACAGAGCATAGTACATAATCTGAACTATGCATCAGAAGTAAGAAGTTATCATTGAACGAGTTACCATCTGTGAAAAAAGTTATCGGCTACAATCAGGAAGGGGTGGTCGGAGTTCGAGACGTGGGGCATTTTCTTAACGACGCCCTCAGACGTTACTATGCAACAAATTTGTGGCCAGTGACGGACCAGGTATTGAAGTTGTAGGTGGGGAAGTACTATAGCAAGGCTAATTTTTCGTTCCTCCATCTAGGTGGACGTTGAGGAAAGTCAATGTGGAGAAGGCGAACATGATGCAGGAGAGGAAGCGCGTGATTTCAAGGTATCTGAAGAAGAACACACGGAATCCCCAGAAGAAGATTCTGGAGAGGTAAATGCAACCTATATGTAACAACCTACATGTCCTCCATCTAGGTTGACGTTGAGGAAAGTCAATATAGAGAAAGCGAACATGATGCAGGAGAGGAAGCGCATGATTCCAAGGTATCTGACGAAGAACACACGGAATCCCCAGAAGAAGATTCTGGAGAGGTAAATGCAACCTATATGTAGTATCACACACGGCAAATATGAATATTTCTAGAACGCAGATGATCCAGATTTCAATATCGATGACGAGTTATCATGTGGCTCATCAACGGCTTCCTGTCCAGAGTTCGAGACTGACCCAGATGTGTCGAATCAGTACTTCCTCGTCAAAGGTGTAAAGCTCTTAGAGCTTTTTCAATTCTGTCCTCGATGCGGAAACAGGCTACTGGGAGCTCGCTTGAAGGCCGTCGGTACGGCTGCTGTCGTCAAATTCGTTTGTGAGGGATGCAGGAACAAAGATAAGATGTGGGAAAGCCAAGAAAGAACAGTTTCTAGTTCGCGTGAGCGAATGCATAAAGGAAATGTGGAGTTAACGGTATCAGCGGTCACCACTGGTTTACGATACCAGGTCAGTAGTAGTCTGAGATACATTGTAATGCAATCAAGCTTATTCAGTTGTTTGTTCAGGAATTAGCAGAATGGGCTCAGCAGATGAATTTATCGTTTTTCTCGAAAACCTTTTTCTTTAAAGTTTTTGGATGGACGAGGTCGGCCATTGAGCGGGTTTACCTCTCGCAGCAAAATCTTGTTCTAGAGACGGTAAAAGACGCCTACGAGGTAATTCAATAAAATTCGGGGTTCATCTCATTTTGGTGTAGGCAAGATTGCAGGAAAGTGGAGGATTGCACCTAATCGTTGATGGTGACCGCGACAGTCGCGAAAACTCAGAGTTGATCGGTAAGGTGAGGTTGGTCGAAGCGCGGACTGAGCTGGTGCTTCATACTGAAGTTCTTCATCTTCCGGAGACTGGTACGAGGTTAATTGAATACATTAGAAATTTTCAAGTTTTACGATCTTCCAGGGGGCACCGATGCGCGCTTGGATATTGAAGGGCTGCGACGACTAATGAGATGGACTCAGGCGCATGGACTCCATGTTGGTTCTGTGACAACGGACAGAAGTAAAGCGCTGCGAGCGGCGCTGCGAGAGATGGAACCTGAAATTGGGGACATTCCTCACTACTACTACGGGAGGCGTTTGGTGAAATGGTTAGACCGTGAACTGAGGAAGGTTTGAATATTTTCTCTTTAAAATAACATCATTCGAGCTCTACACAAACCTCTCTTCACAGGCAGCCAAATTGGATGGGTGTGACGGAATAGGCCCCTGGATCGAGCAATTGAAGACGCACCTGTTGAGTGTCATCAAACACGGTGCCGCTGATGGGACCGACGTTCAGGCTGCTTTCAATACGTGTCTCATGCATGTGCAGGATGTACACCAGTGGCCAATGGTACATTTATTCGTCATTACTCAGTGTTTTTCGGCTTTAGGAGCTATTTGCAGGACGTTCTGACAGGTCCTTACACTCGGTGCGCACACGAATCTCTTGAGGAGCCACTACCCAAAGTTCTGAATGTGGATAGTAAAGAATATGAAGAACTCCGGAAAGTCGTCCTTACTAAGTCTTTCCAGAAAGATCTACAAAGGGCCAGTCCTTTTGAGGGAGCCTCTATAGATGAGGCGAAGAACATATGGGATAGGATTTACTGTCGCAAGGGGATGATTCGTCCATTTGCTACTTATCCGCTATACGTAATGATGACCACAATGCATATAAACACCTTGCGACTAGCAGAGCTTAACGGAGAGGGTAATTTGCCAAAGACCCGTGATACCCAGCGGGAACGCCCCACAAGGAAATCTAATCCCGAACCTAAATCTGCGGTGAGACAATTGTGGAGAGACTTAGTATTCGATGAAGTCGTCGAGGCTCGGCTCTTAGCCTTGCAAGGAAGACATCACAATGGTGCTGCTGAGGAGAACGAGGACTTCTTAGCTGCAGACGAAAACGATGAGTGTGAGTTGTAGAGGTGAGCTTGTTTCTCGTAAAGATAATATTTACATAAAAGTGTTACATGCGCTTCAGTCATATTCGTTGCTATCATTGTTTCTGCAAACGCAACAAATACCTTGTGATAATGTCGAGTTGCAAGGAAAAGGTAACGTTCATCTTAAAAATGGCATACTTTTGACTTTTAGTGTGAAATGCTCCCATCATGGCTGTTCTAACACCAGCTGGAAGCTTTGGATTGAACCCCTAGTTATGCTAAAGCCTCCACAGCACCAAAACACAAAAGACCGGAGGGTGTAGTAACTTAAGCATTCGGTATGCATTGTGAGGTGTCACATCAAAGCTATTTGAAGCAACTGTACCGGAAGTTAACCGTAGAAGTTTTTGCTGCCAGTCATACCTGCACACATGAAAGTGTTAAGAAAGGTTCCTGAAATTCACTCATTTCAATTTACAAGGATGTGCAGATTGACATAGACCTTTTTTTAAGCTTATCTCTTTTATAATTCTACTCTAACAGTACAACGAGCGTCTTTTTTACCACTCTATAAATCGTAGTATCGACCATGGGCTAGATTCGTTACTAACGACCAAAGGGGATTTTCCAGGCTCAGTGGGTGCTCTTACGCTATAGCGTATAGCGTTGAGCGGCCTTGCGCAGCGCCAAGAAGAGTGAGTACAGCCCTTCCATAATGATATGCTTTCTTTACATATCCGTGCGATATCAATTGGCGATCGTAGTTGTCAACAGAGCGCGTTCAACGCCCACCCTTATAGATGCCCACGCGGTTTTATTGACCATTTGAACACCCAAACGGGTCTGCATCCTAGGAAACTTCGATAATAGTGACTTGGTCTGGATGGAAGCCAGCCAGCCACTGGGTAGCCACCATTCCCCGAGAAGGATTGTTGGTCAACTACGATTATTCAAGAATTAACAAGTAATTTCATGGTTTTAGGGATGATAACACGTCAAATTAGGTGAAATTACAGGGTCTGACATGATATCGACGACCACTAGCTCCTGCAAACATCAGCCCCCTCACGCTCCCGCCCCTTTGTAAACTCCCGTGAAAATGAATGTTCTGCTCCCAGGCCCCTGTCATCCTCATTTTCTTCATTACTCTAGGTTTTTATACCGAGAAATGCACCCAGTTGATAATTTCTCCCATTTCTATGACGCGCCGTTGATTGTGTGGTA